CCTCAAATCGTTGTACGTGTAGCCGTCGTGGCGGTCCCTCCGACTGGTCGTCTTCGTCGTCAGAATCTTCCAACCGCTCCGGCTGAGCGGCAACCTCCGGCGGTGGACCCGGTACGGGTAGTTGAATGCGGTTCTCTGTCAAGAAGTTCTGGAATTCCTCCGACAACTTCTCCATTCTGGCCTCCCACTGGGTCATGAGGACTCGCCAATCCTCTGGCGATCCCGGGCCTTCAGCACCACTCGAACCGCTGTCACCGTCCGGAGTACTGCCGGCCATCTGGCCGGGCTGCAAATCGTCGTTGTCGCTGTCGCCGCCCGAGTTCACTTGCACATTTATTTTCTTTGCCGCTTTCCTTAACATCGTGGCGTGTTCCGTACTTTTTCTGACACCAAATGTAGTGCCGTGAATTCACTCGGACGACAACCGTCTCTTTTTCCGCCGTCACTTTAATTCCATCGTTCCGTACACAGTAATTCTCTCCATGCTCCGCCAACTCGGACACTCCGATTTACTTCAGCATCGTCCGTGTATCCCCTTCCACACACAGTGTTCCTTCCTCTATCTCTACACACACAGTGTCTTCCCTTCCACACACAGTGGTTCGTCTTCTATCTCCTCACACACAGTATCACCGCTATCTCTTCACACGCAGTGACTTCCCTTCCACACACAGTGGTTCGTCTTCTATCGCCTCACACACACAGTATCGCCGCTATCTCTTCACACGCAGTGACTTCCCTTCCACACACAGTGGTTCTTCTTCTATCTATTCACACACAGTATCCTGTCTGTCTATTCACACACAGTGACTCCATCTATCTATTCACACACAGTGACTCCATCTATCTATTCACACACAGTGACTCCATCTATCTCTGCTAACGCTGACTCTCCCTATCGCTATTTACTGTCTTTGGGGTCCGGCTCTCTACTGAAGAAGCTTGATTCCATCTATCACTCGCCCTTAAGATTTGCATTGAACTGCCCATATAGGACTCACCACTGTGATCTCTACATTGGGTCAAACTTAACATCTCTTAATGTTCGACGGCTTGTGCACCAGATCTTATTTATTCACGATGTACTTACAAAAAATTCCGCAGACTACCTACTGGATCTCCTCTCTGTTTCAAAGAACAAATTTGACCTCAGGTCTTCACTCATTTACCAGCTTCACATTCCCTATTGCCGTACAAAAACTGGAGGAAGGGCCTTTGCTATTGATGCCCCCAGGGTCTGGAATGCTATTGCCAATAAACTGCAACTTGAATCACTACCTATGAGATCTTCACTCAAAACTGCTCGAGAGTTGTACAACCCTAGCTGCCACTGCTATTCAGTGGCCTAAAATATGGCTCTAGATTTTGGTGTTATAATTTATTTATGTAGTTTATTGTTAAAAATTCGGTCACAGTCCCTATGATCACTGTTACATTGGATTTATGGCTTTTATTTTGGTGATTTCGAAAAGTTTTTTTTTGTTTTGGCCATGTTTTTGTTTATTGTAGTACGGAGTTAGACTGATGGCTTTAATCTTAGTTGTCTTGTGGTTGTTGTTATTTGACTTGCATCCCACTGGGAGTTTTGCACACAGCGTTGGTGTACGGTGCTATTTCAGGAATATTTTGATATTTTTTTCCTGTATTTTCTGTTTGCACAGTCACAATCACTTTAAGATGTTTTCTTGTTCATGTTTTTTGTTTGTTGCGGTTGCACTCGATTCAAGAGCCGAATGGCTCACAGGGCTATACCAAATAAATGAACTATGAACTATCTATTGTTCCCTAACATTTCCAGCTGTCTTCTTCGTATCTCTTCACCTCTCGCCAACAACTGCCCAGCAACAACTCTCCAACAACAACTCCCCAGCAGCAACTCCCCTCCGTTCAAACCACCTCCCGTTTTATCCCCTTTCGCATTAGCCTTAATTAATTGCCACGTGGCTCGCTGGCCGTTTTCCGCCAGCTCGCACCTGTCCCCTCCATCAGACATCCAGACGCCACCACTTAACACTAACAGCCTCTCGACCAATCACAGCCCTCGTGCCACGACTCCCTTAATTACTTCGTGTTGTTTACGCCACCCGCGACTCGACCACCTGTTTGACCTCATGTGACCCGTTCTCCTTGTTTGTCTGTATGTACTGTATATGGCCAATTCCTATGCGTATTGTTTACTCCACTACAGTTTGTATCCAATTAAGCAATTCTCGTTGAAAACAGCCATTTATCTTGTCACAATCAGAATATTTATTGATACTGGAGGAATCCGATGAGCTCTAAAGCGCTTCTTCACAGATGTCCAGTAGGGGGCATGGGGGTCAGAACGTTACAACAACAAACGTAATACAGAAACGCAATAGGAGTGCAAAGTAGAGTAAAAGTAAACAAATCTCTATCGAAAACATACAACTAAAACTAACTTTTTTTTACCTTAGCAGGTAAAGCCCCCATTCTTCAGAAGCGACCTCGCCACAAAGGGTAGCTCAAAAAAGGGGGTTTATCACCAGGCGAAAATTTATAGTAGCAGACAATTAATCTGAACGCATGACGCCGATTCAAAATGTCGAGGGGAAAAAACCAGAGGACCCGAGGAAAAATAGCAGCACAAGCACACAATTAAAATATACAGCAGCAGGCGTCAGGTGCCGGGATCGAACCCACGACCTCCGGCATACCAGGCGAGGTAGTTAACATCTCATAGCCACCGTGATGATGATGATGAGAGAGAGACACGCAAACTCAAATATACAGCAGCAGGCGTCAGGTGCCGGGATCGAACCCACGACCTCCGGCATATCAGGCGAGGTAGTTAACATCTCATAGCCACCGTGATGATGATGAGAGAGAGACACCGCAAACTCCAAATATACAGCAGCAGGCGTCAGGGGTCGGGATCGAACCCACGACCTCCGGCACACCTGGCGAGGTAGTTAACATCTCATAGCCACCGTGATGATGATGATGAGAGAGAGACACGCAAACTCAAATATACAGCAGCAGGCGTCAGGTGCCGGGATCGAACCCACGACCTCCGGCATATCAGGCGAGGTAGTTAACATCTCATAGCCACCGTGATGATGATGAGAGAGAGACACCGCAAACTCCAAATATACAGCAGCAGGCGTCAGGGGTCGGGATCGAACCCACGACCTCCGGCACACCTGGCGAGGTAGTTAACATCTCCTAAGCACCGTGACGCACTTTTGCTTCCTGTGCACTCCACTCCCCTACAGCCACTGCCATCTGCACCGCAAGCACAACAGGAACTGGCCCCGGGGCTCCCTCGGGAATAACGTCCAGCGACACATCGCTTAGAAGCGAGACACGCGCGGTGGCGGTGACGCAGGATTACAGATCCACAGAGGACAGAGCCAGCACAGCAGAGATCCAAGATTCAAAGCCAGGTTTGCAGCCGCTGACCGTGGTTAACTATAAACTAAAGCTATTTTATTTATTTATATATATTTTGCCAGGTAAGACCCTGGCTATCACATATGATAGCGCGACAAAACGGCTCAGCATCAACATGGACATTGGAATCATTTTGCGGGACCCCGGGGTCCCGCCAAAAATCAGGTCAATAATAATAATTATTATTTTTATTTTAAAGTCCGCCCACTCGTGATCCAGCAAGGACACCGGACGGACCCCGCCAGGGCCGCTGTTCATTCTTGCTCGCCAACAAGCGCCAGCAGCAGCAGCAGGCGGCGATCGACACGATGGGCACCACCCCACCGGCCAAACGCGAGCCCCGGGGGGACAACGCCCTCCGGTCAGCCGTCCATCCTCAGCTTCTTTGCCAAGGCGAGCCCCACCGCCACCCACCCCCCCTAGGCAGTGAATTTAACGTGTTTACGTAATTTTTCAACTTTTTACGAAACTTAGTGCCCCGAGTAGCTCTCGACGAGGCCGATCGATTTGACCACTAGTTTTTGTTGTCGCTACGCGGGTTTTTCCCCACCCCGGGGCAGTGATGGTAGCCCCGGGGTCCCGCCAATTGCTTCAATTATAGATGCCAAAACGGTGCTCGAAATGTGGTGGGGGGGGGGGGGGGGGAAACCCGGAGGACCCGGAGAAAAATCCACGCGACCACGGGGAGAGAGAGAGAGAGACAACGCGCGAACTTCGAACACACAATCTAGATTTTAACATACAGCAGGCGTCTGTGTAACCTGATGGAACCCACGACCTCCTGCATACCAGACGAGCTTAGCCGTCACCTCCTGGCCACCGCAGCGCCGAACAATCATCACAATCACAGCACAAGTGGCCGCTACAGAGACATTTCCTCTTCAGATGTCATTCCATTCGGTGGCAATGTTCATCAACTTGACCGATGAAGCATCGTGCAATTTTTGTAATTGAATTAAAACAGTCTGCCTCAGCAGCAGACCATGCTTTCCCACCTGCTGATGGACGCTTGTGTTGCGCCCGAAACGTCGTCATGTATTTTATACCTACGTGACTTTACCGAAAGAACCAGAGAGAATGGATTCCTGCAGTCGCCAAAGCTTAAAATCAAGACTGCATTAAGAAGTTATTTTCTCTCTGCCAACCGATGACACTGCCCCACTTTGGAATTGCCTCCCATCGCCTTTGGCCCACCAGAGGGAGCTCCAGAGATTGCCCGTGGCATTTGGCCTACTCTTCCACGGTGACCACGGTATAAGAGGTGAGAGCCACTTACGAGTTGACCCCCCCCCAACACACGGCGACCTGCCCGATCGACTTAACGTCATTTTAATTAAACTGCCGGGTGCACAGAGGCGGCGTGGACATTTAAGACACATTTAAACTGCTTTGCCGGGAGCTAGAATCTCACCGGCAACTCCACGGAAGTCGAGTTGATGCGCTCTGGCCATGCTACACACCGCGTATTACACAACAACAACAACAACCTTGTTGTTTCGAGTTGCTTTTAGGCGTGTTGCTCAGCCGAACGTGCCGCTTCAGGGCAGTTGCAATGACCGCGCGATCCGCACGGCGTCTGTAATCACCTGGGGACGTTCCAACACCCGGCTGGGGACCCGTCAGCCTCCACCGCAGCCGCCGGAGCCACCAGCGCCGCCGCCTGAACTTTTTTAAATCTCGTCCGAAACCGGGAGGGGTCACGTGACGACCAATACGAGGAGTCGCGCGTCCCCATTGGCCGGATTCAAATCTGACTACGTCAACATGACAACAACCAACCGTCGCCCGCCTCGCGCCGCACCCCCCAAGCCCCTCCCCCCCAGCCCAACCCCTCCACCACCAACGGTCTCCACCAGCACACCCCCCCCATACAGAACGCCCCCCCCCCCCAATCCCCAAGACCCCGCCCCCAAGCCCCACCTCACCCCCCCAAACTCCACCCCCGACTCCCAACGGTCTGCACCCCCCACCGGCCCCCCCCCCGTTCAGCACTCCCCCTCCCAGCCCCCCTCCAACCCCCCACCCCCAACGGTCGGCACGGGCACCCCCGCCCAACGCCCCCTCCCCGCACAGCACGCACGACCCCGCCCCCAAGCCCCACCCAAGCCCCACCCAACCCCTCTCAACCCCCCCACCCCCAACGGTCTCCACCCCCCCACCGACCCCCCCCTCCCCCGCTGTACAGCACGCCCCTCCCCCAAACCCCTCCCAATCTCCCAAGCCCCTCCCAACCCCCTCAGTCTCCACAACGCCCGCCCCCCCCTCGCATCACTCACCGTTGGGGGGGGTTCCCCTCCCCCCACACGTGACGTCACCCCCTCCCCCACACGTGACGTCACCCCCTCTTCTCCGCTTCCCCGCCTAATTCCTCTGTGGGTGACGTCACCTCGTCGAGCGGTTGCGGTGGTGGTCCCGTGACGTCACCATAGAGCTGGGACCCACCCCGACGCAAAACGTCACGGGCCCATGCGGCTTCTCGACAAGATAATTATGACGTCATTTGTCTCCGCAAAGGCGCAGATGTGGTGGTGATGGGTGGTGGTGATGGTGGTGGATGGTGGTGCAGTCATCCACTCCTATGCAGGAGGCTCGTGAAGAACGTTGCTACTGGGGTAGTTGGAGGCAGTCCGCACTCCAACAACAACGGAGGGCAGAGGAGCGACATTCACAACAAAGAGCGGAGCGCCGGGCGGTTAAAACGCATCAAGTTAGCACAGCAAAGGGACCACAGCTGATGTGCATCTGCCAGTCATCTCAGTTGGTCAACCCATGGATTCTGTCCATAAATGACGTCACGCGATTTTGGACGATTTTTGAGCCCCCCCCCCCTCCATCGTCACACGGCATCACAAAAAGTCAGACCCCCCCCCTCAAATATGACGTCACAAAGCTCTGCCCCCCCCCCTCAAAACCATAAACATGCTTCGAATCGCTTGAAACTATTGTCATTGTAGTGCGTATTTAATGTGCCGCTGCACTCTGATGTTGTAGGAGAAAACATTTATTAAAAAGTCAATTTAATTAAGTAGAACGTGTTGTCTATATTTATTTAAAGTTGCGCATTTTGATGTGACGTCAAATTTTTCACCCCCCCCCCCCCCCTCGTTACACATCGTCACAAATGTCTGACTTCCCCCCCCCCCCTAGGTGCGTGACGTAATTCATGGACGGCCCCCGTGACCTCCTGGCAGCAGCGAGCATTCGACACTTCACGTGGTAGCCTCAAAGTGCACCTGGCCTGGCACAGAGTGGCGAATGGCGGGTTGTGGTATTGCAGTCAACCACTCGCGCGATTGTGATGGAGCCGGAGCTGTTATTGTGCCCACTTGCAGGCTCGGGTGCCGAGTTCTTCTCCTGCCGCACAGGGACAGCTGCCACTGGGGCATGCCCTCTGAAATGTCGATTCATGATTATCTTATTATTTAAAAAAAAAGAGCAAAAAAAATGCACGTGAAATTCGAGCAGTGTAAATATGTGTCGTACACCCGTCTGACACGGCCAATTATTATTTATATTATTTTACCAGGTAAGACCCACTGAGCGAGGTAGCTCTCAACGAAGTGGCTCAGCACGTGGAAATTCATAGCTGCCAAATTATCTAAACCGGGGGCATACTCCAATGAAAATAGCTGTTACTAAAAGTAAAAAAAAAGACTAAAATAAATATTAAGATTTTTTCCACTGATCTGTGTTATAAATGTAATTTCTGTACGATTCCAATCATTTTTGTAGTCAAAATCGCCAAATTTGCGGAGCTCCGCTGCAAATACAGGAAGAGACGAGAGGTGAGGCAGTGACGCGCTCAGCCTCCCCTCTGATTGCGCAACCCCTCAGTAACTGGATGGAGCGCGGGCAATAAGCGAGTGCCTGTTACTATCTCAGTACGTCACCAATGTAATGTTTGTAGACCCCTTCATTTGATGTCCTCGCCTTCCATACCCCAGGTAAATTATTTCACGTGTGTGTATAAAGATATTTAGGCTCGCTGGTCTCGTCATGAAACTGCAATGAAAAAGCACCAGGGGAGGCAGCTATCACATCTGCCCACTGAGGGGGACGTGTCTTTGGGGCCACGCCCCCTCCGTGAGGCCACGCCCCCCTCAGTGCGTGAATCTGGCTCTGAAACTAGCCAGTGCCTCCCCAGCCATTGACCTCACTGCACGTCACTGCTCTAAACGCACGTTGTTTCTAAATGTGGAGGGGAAAAAAGCCGAGGGCCCGGAGAAAAATCCACGCAACCACGGAGAGAGATAACACGAAAACTCCAAATACAGCAGCAGGCATCAGGGTGGAGATCAAACCCACGACCTCCTTGCATACCAGGCGAGGGCGTTAACACCTCCTAGCCACACGTTACAATGTACAGTATCGCTGTTCATCTTGCCTGGAGACTGGCGGTAACTAGGGCTGGAAATGGGAATACATGACTGGGGGAACTCAATTATATTCATCCCCACCCTCGCGAGATATTGTGATGCCACGACCGTGGACCAGCTGCGCAAGCGCCGCGATTGTCCACTACCCCCCACCCTGAGCACACACACACACGCAGCACTTGCACCCACGTAGTAGTGTCCTGGCGGGGGATTGCCTGGCACATCGGGTTTTAATCCGAAGGGCCCCTAGAGGGAGGGCCCCACGGTTTCCCGATGGCCGACCCTCACAGGACAGGTTACATTGCGGTGCCCCTAAATTGGCTTAAAATTGTGTTGTGTTGCTAATGACGACGCGGAGGCAGGTCTTCAGGTAAGGGCTTGCGCCAGTTTATTAACAAGGAAGGTGGTAAGTAAACACCAGGGGTAGGCGTCCTACATTCGGTCCTTCACGTGGACCCGTGGCTCTATCTACTGCTAGCCTCGGCTATCTCTTTGGGCTCTCTCACTCGAGTCAGGACAGGGGTTCAGCCAACACCGCCCGTCCGAGGAGAGCAGCACCTCCCGTAACTACAGCCAGCTTCTACAGACGTCTTTAGCTCTACCCCTGGCTGTCTCTTCGGCTCTCTTCCACCGCTCACCATCCCGGGCTCCCCGGGCTCCCTGAACGTCACGGGCCCCCCTTAAGTGGTACATGACATCATTATTCAATTTCCGAAAGTCCACACAGAACCGCAAACTCCCGTCCTTTTAAACCAGGACAATGAGAGCACCCCACGGACTGGTTGACGGGGAGATTATATCGGCGGCCAACATCTCGTCGACCGTTTGACGAACGTAGTCCTTATCATATTCTTTGAGTCGATGAAGCCACGTAGATATAAAAAAGAATCAAAATAATAGTAATATCACGAAGTTTTGATCGCAACACAAGCAATTGTTTCACCTGAAGACGATTGCTTGTGTTGCGATCGATACGTGGCTTTACCGAGCGACGCAAAGAATATGAATTCCTGCAGCCACGAAAGCTTTAAGTCAAGATGAAGTCCCATTCCTTCGGACTAAACCGAAATGAGTTCTGACGAATGGGAGCGGCGCCACCCGCATCAATATGGTGATGCAGCAGGGACGTGCGGCCCACATCAAATTTACCCTTATTAAATACATCGGAGAATTCCCAAAGCAATGCCTGCAACTCGCCCCTCTGCTCCCACGATAAATCCGGATTACCCATGCACAACAGATCCATCCATGAGTCATCCAACACTGCTTCCCATTCAACCGCGGTCATGACCCGAGTGCTCACATCATCCGTATCCTCACAACACGCCGCCGTCGCGTGGGCCAACACTGTACCAGCCTGTATGACCACGGTATCCATCCCAGCATTTAATACTTGTAGGAAGGGCTCCTGATCATCCCTCACACTCGTCTGAGCCCCTATCAAAGTCAGCCCACGAACTGCTCTATTTGAAGGGGTTAAAAGAACCCCACCCCCAGTGATTTTCTGGTCGAGCCGCTTCCGCAGCCTCAAGGGTACGAGCATCTGTGCCCCTGGGGGAACCCTAACAGTTTCACGCACCAGGGCCCAAACCACAGCGTTAGCCATAAATCGTCCATTAGGGGACTCTAAAAACCCTCAACCGATGTCCCGACGGTAACTCAACACAACCCTGGTCAACTCAAATTCGGAGGGACATCCTCTTTAAAAAAATCCGTCCCCAATAAACAAGGCACCGCCAATGAACGTGAAACCAACACCGGGCCTGTCCTTTCAATATCACCAATCCATATTGATGCCTTAATTTGGCCCACAATGCCTAAACTCCCACGGATTATCTATGAACATCCGCACTTCAACACTCTGCACAAATCCCCCTACCGTAGATGATCCTGCTCCCACTGCTATGATATGGTGTGCCAGTGCGGTCCATTGCCCGGACCACCGTGGCCAACCATCACACACCGAAGCACCATCCTCATACCCCGTATCACTATGAGGGGCGATGGCATGTGCACCCGACACTGACTGCAATGGGGATGCATGAGGTGGCTGTGTCGTCGGCCGGGTGTGTGACGCATCGCGACCTGCCTTTGGACCCAGTGGAGCGGAAGCCGGCAGGGTGGACGACGGCTAAGCCAGAAAAAAATGCCCCAAATCAGCACAGCAGCCCCTGGAGATGTGGCCCGGCAGGCGGAGTCGCCCGGCTCTTCCTGCCCAGCTACCCCACCAGTGCCGTCACCGCGGAGAGCAGCTCCACGATGTGCGCGCTGAGTGCCTGCGGCCCTTCTCCAGCCGGCAGCGGTGCGGAATCATTGTCCTTCCTCCACTGCCCCACCGGGACCGCCACTCCGGGACCCCCCGCTGGGGCCTCGACAGCCAGGGCTGCCCGAGAACTCTC